CCGGCTGCGCCTGCGCGGGTGTCTCGGGCAGCACCTCGCAAAGGCGCTGATAGGAGTGGGCCCTTGGTATGAGAGAGCTCTGTGAGCTTCAAAAATACATAGTGTGGGATAGCAGTTGGATGTGGCAGAGAACTATTATTTGGGCAGTGATTTTTCTCTCTAAATTAAGCATCCATCCTTCAAAAGGCACTGCCAAGTACTTACTGTTTTTATTGTTGGCAACCTCCTTTGAGCCACTGTCCTTTAAAAGTCAAATGATTATATTCTTTCCAGTTAGCAAGTGTTTTTCACAGAAAATTTGAACCCATTGGAATTAATACAGTGAACACCATGTAATAACAACCGAGTATAACTTCAGCCTAGCTAAATGACCAATTATTGTGTATTTGTGCTGTTGCATCCTTTCGTGTTGAAGCACTCTGGGAGAATTCATTTATTTTACTTCTTATTGATTAGTTTAAAAGGTTTTTGCTTACCTTGTGCTGTCTGGAAAAGATATAAACTTAGTTATTTAAAGAAGTTAATGGAATTTTTCAAATTATAATGGAAACATCTATTGCCATCATATTTAAGAACTATTTACTTTACATCTGACTGTTCAAATAATCGACGCATACAGCCTAGACATGTTGATATGTTTATTATTCTAGAAGAGAATGGGAAATAAAAGATAATCTTCTGTTGCATTTTAATTGCTCATTTCCTGTTTAAGATAGCAAATGACAGATCGCTGTGATAGGGTAGATAAATGGGTGCGACACTGCGCACTCCATTATGCAGGCAGTGCCTTGATTAGTTATTACAGGAGCAAATGGAAAAAAAAAATTATTAGGAGAGGAATCCGGAGGTAGTATTATTTTCTTAAGCAAGTAATAAATGCAGATGATTTCCTCCAAATGCAGAGAGGTTCCAGAGTCACATAATTTGGCACTAATTGATTCTATTCGAACGTGCTGCTGCTGAGCAGATGGGTTTTATACTTGTGCATTAAACCAGGGGCTAGCTAGCTAAGTGGGTAAAAGCTCTGGCCTTTCACCTCGGCGCAGCTTTGGGCTGAGCAGCGGCGTGGGTCTCCTCTCTGCCAACAGTTCTCCTGGCTCCCTACATGCAGACCTGCATTCGCGGCTTGTTATTTATATTTTGTCTAGAGTTATTTCCCTTTTAAAATTTTGTTTCTCTTCACAGTTTTCACGGGCCTGTTAAATGCCTGAGACCTGATTAAGGGGCAAAACATGAACTCGAGACTCCTCATAAGATTTCAGCTCCAGGATAGAGCAGATATCATACAAAAAAGCTAGTAATGGGGCAGAGTCTGGAGAGCAAGATTATCTCCCTGAGCCTGATGAAGACTAGGAGCAGTAGCAGGAAAAATATGGTGAGTCCCAGCTAAGCCTGAGCGCTGCTGTCGTGCTCCTGACCGCAGAGCTGCTCCCAGGACGGGGTCTTCCCTTAAGCCCGCCCGGCGGCCAGCTCCCGGCCAGGACTTCGCTTGGGCACGAGTGCAGATTTTCACTTCTCCAGGTGTTGTTTGTGGATTAAGTCACACAAGCATAAAAACAAGCAAATCTCTTAAAACTAAATAGCCGCTACCACTTAAAAAAGTTCTTCAGGCATTAATAGAAACGGCCGAACCCGTTGTGCTGCGATTTCCCGTTGTCAGGGCAGAGGATGGAGCGGGTGGGAGTCGGGCGGGGGGAGCTTAGCGGGAGCAGCAACTGCTGCGGTCCTCGGCGCAGCGCCTGCGTGACAGCGGATTGTGACAGATGCTGAGAAATCTGAAAGCTCGTATTTTAATGTGGTACTAAATTCACGGAGACACGTCTGCAAAGCAAAAAAAATGAGAGGCCACTTACTGAGCCAGTCTAAATGTACTGAACATTTCATAATTAAATGTCTATTTAAATATCTTTGGATTAATGTTTTGGGATGAAGAGTCAGGGATACGTATGCTTGGTAATTGCACGGAGATGGTGACATGATGCAGGTCCTGGGCGAGCCGAGGGGTGACAGGGCAGGGGCTGCGGGCCCTGAGCTGTGCTGAATCCGAGGGCAAAAGGCATAATTTAAAGGCTCTCAACCTAACTGAACTGCCTTTTCTGTTGGTTCCCTGCCTTTGTGTTTTGTCAAGTTTTATGCTTAAGCTATATTGCTGTATAGCTAATGGTATATGAGAAAAGCCAGACCCATAAGCTGTTTACCTGGCAGCTTTTCCCTGACTGCTTATCCCACCGGAAAACTCAGATGGAAATGTCCCATCACCCTGCCGATAACGGCGCTGGTCTGGTAGATGTGCTCAGGAAGAGGAAAAGAGAGAAAGGAAGGTTATTTCTCTCTCCCCTTCCATAAACAGCCATCCCAGCGAAACTGGGGCAATGTCCCTAGCCGGTATCCTTCATCTCCCGTGGAGAAGATAATTAGAAAAGCAATCGTTTAAATCATTTAGAAACCTTCCAGCTCCAATGCCAATCTCCAGAGATGGGAAAAGGCAGAGGAATGCTCTCACACACTTCACGCATCCAGGGGAGGAAGAAGGGGTTTGCTTGGGGACAAGTGCTTGAAGAGCGTGCTTGCTGTGAGCTGTATGAGCTGGAATCACCAGGGTGGCCTTAACCTCCGCCTACAAAAGGCCGAGTGACAATAAGTTTCAGTCTTTGGTTTGCACATGGGAATAAGCCAGAGATATAGATAAGGTCACAGACTATACTTAATTTTATTTTTCTAGCTTTAGTACTGCAATCAGCACATTAGCAATCTGCCCTTGAGAAGTGTTTGTTTTTGTGCTGTCTTGTCTTTGCATTTCTGGGATTGCTCAATCATGTGGAGCTAAATTTTATTTTGCTGGAAAAAGACTCTCATTAACTTTAGTGAATGGTTTAAAAATCCAGCCTAGGTTTATTTTTGTTTTCTTGCACTGGGGCAGACTCTGTGCTGATTAGCTCCTGTTCAGTCACAAATGCTTAATGGATTACCCAGCAAGTCCATACACAGCTCGGCCCGATGATTTTTAGCAGAAATCAACTCAGTCTCTCGAAAGGGCAATTGAGAGCTCGTCCTGAGGATGATGTAAAATTCCTTGTGCCTGGCAAAGTTCCTTGAAATCTTCTTGAAATAATCATGAAATAATCATTCACTCCTGTCAGACAGCAGTCTGAATCGATAGTGATTTCCCCTGTATGTGCAGCCTTTTTCCTCTGGATCCAGATTGACATGGAACTGGAAAGAAGAATTTCTGAGGTGGATGTAATAGCTGTTCTTGCTTATTGCATATTGACCCAGCTGCATTCACCTCTTGGGAAGTCCTTTTGGCTTGTTTTTTCACACAACTGTTCCATAATGCATTGGAAATGAGAGTCACTCATGCAGAATATTAATGGTATGTTAATATTTAAAATGTTATAAACATTTTATTCAAATGTATGGGTCACTTTAGTGGCTTGTTATTCTTAAGCCACACTCCGTATGGGTATTTGGTTTGAAGGTGTATCACAAAGGCTCTGTGTTAACACTAATCCACTAAGGATCCCTCCCTATGCACAACTGCTGAGATCTGCAGAACAAAGTTAAGCAAATTACCCTAAACATGCTTATCTAGTAAAAGGAATAGGATGGCCAAATGCAGCCTGAGGTTCTCCATTTTAAACAAAAGGCTCTGCTGGGTGGAGGGGTTGAAGCTGAGCAGCTCCGAGTCCTGTCTGGCACATGCAGATGTAACCCAACGCTGTCCGCTTCCCCGGAGCCGAGAGTGCCGGGAACACGGAGGCTCCAGACAACCTACCAGGAAGGTCTCGAGCACCATTTGCTACTGTTATTTACAGTCTTGTCTGTTTTAAAATCAGTTCGCTTAGCCAAACAAGGTGACAAAAGGAATCAGATTAACTAATAGGATTAGTCTTCTGGTAGGGATATGTAAACAGTTTGTCAAACAAAAAGTAAGACGTTAAACATTCAACCTGGAGAACATCCAAAGAGGGGAACCCCTATCTGTTTACCTTAATAAACAGTGTATTTATAGGTACTTTCATTAAACTTCCCAACTGCTGTGGCAAGATCAAGGTTGGGAGTAGCTGGAGTTACGCAAGGGACCCAAGCAGCAGATCACCCAGCCAGAGGCTGGAGGTAGCCGAGGTTGGTGCACTCAGCAGGCTCCTGCAATGCAAGTAAATGCTCATGGAAGGAGGGTGGCATGGTGAAGTTCAGCTTTGTATCGCTTCACGTGGACACCACAGCTGTTTTTCATGCATGATTTGGTCTGTGCTATAAAAAGCAGTGAGTTTAACAAGAATTGATCATTTTGGCCCAGGTCCAATAATACCCCAACAGTGAGGACAAAGCAAACAGGATTCAAGGCCTTGACCAGCAGCTGGTGGAAAGTTGTAATTCCACCGACTTCCACTGAGTTACAGCAGTTTGAAGGAGTTGAAACTAGGTCCCAGGAGAATTTTAACCTCTAACAGTTATGGCCTAATGCCACCTTATTGATAGGTCTGTTGCTGTTTTATTTTTAAATATCCAATAACAGATACCCATTTGGTCTCACTTGCAGTGTTGGACTGAAACTCCTTTTAAAGTAAGTGAGCAATCGCCAGCTTTAAAAATGACTCTTTTTCTTTGTGACATTTGCACTGGGCAAGCTGGGAACCTCTATCTCCAACATCTCTTAAACTGGAACGTCTCTCTTAACGTGTGTAGCTACTGGTCATAACTGCCATCTAAATTTTTAACTCGAGCTGTTAGCGGGAGGAGCTGCGTAAGTGTAGGAAAGAGGATTTGCAGCTGGTTTGAGTGCAGGGAATCAGCTGTAGGCTGTTGCTGGGGGCAGGATACAGCACTGCGCGCTTTGCTGAGCCAGTAGGCCAAATAGTATAAAATCACAAAATACAAATTCTGTAATAATTGTATATCCCGTGTTAAACACTCGGACACACTGCCTGCACCTGGGTCCATGCTATGCATTCTGCCGAGGCCTCGGCCGGGGACTCGCCGTGGGAACGTAGTGACCCGGCACAGCCGCCCACCAAGCCCGACGCGCTGTTGCCCATCAGGGATGCGCTCTGCAACCTGGGCTTAACATCAAAGCTGGAGATAAAGGAGGAGACAGGCGGGCCAGTGCCAGCCGCC